TCTCTCGTTTCCTGGCGCGCAGTTAACATTTCGGTACGCACGCCTCTCTGCACGCCCCCCCCCCCCTCGATCGCCTTCATCCGCCGGCCCGCAGGAAAACTTCACCCCCAAGTCCGGCGCGGAGTGGACCATCGACCTCCCCCTGCGGCCAATGCTGCTTAAGGGTTAGGATAAAACCTTGGAAAACGAAATGCGGCTTACGTGCGTTGTGTGTGTGTGTGCCCGCGCAGGGGATTGGAGGTGCGACCTATCCACACTCATTGAAAAAAAATATATGTACATGAAGATTACACTAAAGAAATAGTAATCTGTTAATTTTATTTTTCTATTGGTCGGTAGGTGCATATTAATTTTTCTACAATCTATATGTCTAGCGTTAATGTAGTATGGACGTACCGGCCTTCCCTACGGAACACATGTTTAGAAGCGCTGACTTCATTTTGAAAGGTTGTTATTTGGATGTTTGTTTGTCACAAATATATAAACATACACTAACATGTAAAATTAAATAAGTGTTTGATAGATTATCCGAAATGAGGGACTATTTTTCAATAGGTTCATACTAATATTGCCGCATTCGATGCGTCTAACCTTAAATTCGTATATTCGTCCCGACTCTCTCTCACTAATATTGTTTTTCAATGTCTAAGTGTAGTTTGTATAGTGTATTAAAGATATGATATCAACAAGAAAGCAAAACGAGTAGCGATGTTGATGTTGTTCATTTTCATTGGTATCTCGTTTTGTTTTGCTATGAAATGTGCACGTTATTTCTGCAGGACGACGAGACTGTAAAACAAGAAGTTGAACGGGGACCTTCTCAGGCATGCAAATGTTCTTGGTTCCGCCCCCAGCAAACCTCGTACCCACCCTAAGTGAAGGCGGGTCTATATATCCACGAGAGGCCAATTTTCGACATTTTTCGTACGTGGGGTATCAGACAGTTGCCACACACTAGTTGGTTACAGAACAACGTGAGACTTTTGTGGCTCATTTCAGAAGCAACAACTGCGTTGTACAATTGAGCCTAGGGTTTAGTTGGTTGCACCCTCTGCACACGTAGTGGGAGGCCAACACAACATGTAGTCGCAGTGGACCAATGACAATGCAGCATTATCGTCACATATCTTCCACGGGCTAATGAAAATGCGGCAAACACTTGGAGCATAAAGGGCTACCTGAACGTGTCCAACTGCACAAGGCCCGGACCAGTGTTTGAAACTAGCCCTGAGGCGCAGACACTTTGGGCCAACTTGAAGCTACTGGGCCCCACACCAGCCACAGGCAGGCCAGCGGTAGGGTGCATTTTCCATATAAGAAAGTGTGAGCTCAGGGGCACGGCATTCTGGCCTGAGCAGACATTGCCACACTGCTGCTTTGCTGCGCGACACTGCGCTAAGCAGACA